GACTTCTTCAGATGATTCACCATGCACAAAGGCATTCTTCACATCGAATTATTGTAATGGCCAATCCAAGTTCGCAACTAAAGACAATAAAACCCAAACTGTGTTGATTTTGGTTACAGGTACGAACGTCTTTGTGTAATCGATTCCATAGGTTTGGGTGTAACCTTTTGCCACCAACCTTGCTTTAAAGCGTTCAACTATGCCATCAGCTTTATACTTCACAGTGTAAATCCATCGACATCCTACTAGTTTCTTTCTTGGTGGAGGATCAATGAGTTCCCAAGTTTTATTTTTCTGTAAGGATTTCATCTCCCCTTTCATAATTTCTTTCCACCTAGGGTCAGCTAAGGCTTCTTGCACACTGTTAGGAATAGATACAGTAGATAATTGATTTACAAATGACAAATTTGATTCTGACAAATGATGGTTCGACACATAATGACTCATGGGATACTTAACTTTACTAGAAAGTTTAGGTTCATATGTGGGTTCAGGAATACCTCAGTGTGACACTGTGGTAATTGTTTTCTGAGTAGCTCAAAGACTAAATCAGGAACATCCTCAGTAAGCGATTGGTTTAATATATTAGTTGCAAAGGACTCAAACTCAGATGACGGTGGGGTTGGCGCCATACTTTCCATTTCTGGGCGTTCATCACCACTTTGATCCAAACTTATACCACTCGAATCCAATTTGCTTGATTCCTAATTAGCTGGTCCAACTTATGAATCATCACCACTAGAATCACCATCCTCAAAAGTGTGATAATCATAATCTAGATAATCATAATCTAGAGTCTGAACTTCGTTCTAGTACTCCCCCCGAAGTTCAGACGTAGAGGAAAAATAAATCGAGTCTTCATGGAAAATAACATCCATGGTGATGAACATTTATCGAGTTGGAGGGTGATAACAGCGATAACCCTTTTTATAAGTAGCATATCCGAGAAAAACACATCGCAATGCTCGAGGAGTTAGGTTATTGCATTAATGCTTATAGAGGTGTATAAATGCTACACAACCAAAGACATGAAGAGGTAGATTTGGGATGGTTGGGGCAACAACTGCATCAGTGAGAGCCTATAATGGTGTCCTGAAGTCAATAGAGCTGGAAGGTATTCGATTGAGTAGATATGCTGCAGATGTAAGTGCTTCTCACCAATACGATAACGGCATATGAACTTTTATCAATGAAGCGCGAACAACCTCCAATAGGTGGCGATTTTTTCGCTCTGCAACCCCATTCTGCAGGGGTGTATTGGAACAATTGGTTTGATGAATAGTTCCATGTGCTTCCAAATATCGTTAAAGGTCAAAACTATGATATTCTCCACCATTATCACTACAGAGAACATGAACATGTGCATTATAGTGAGTTACAACCATTTTATAAAACTTTTGAAACAATAAGTTCACTTCACTTTTGGATTTCATCAAGCTCAACCAGGTCATCCTGGTACAGTCATCAATAAAAGTAACAAACCAACGTGATCCACCTAAAGTAATAACTTTGGACGGACCCCAAACATCAGAAGGTATAACCATAAAAGGAAGTGGACTTTTATTTAAACATAATGGAAAAGAAGCACGGTAGCTCTTTCTTAGTTCACAAACATCACAATGAAAACCAAAACCATCAAAATTTTCAAATAAACTATGAAATAATTTTTTCAGATAACCAAAGGAAGCATGCCCTAGACGTCGATGACACAGCCAGATTTCAGATTTCTTTTTCTCCCGCTTAAAACCATCCGCTGTCAATGCTTATCGCAGCTTGTCGGAACTTTTTGACATCAAGTCCAGTAATACAGTTTCCCTTGCCTAATACCACAACTAATCGTCTGCTTTGTTTGGATGTCCTTAAACACACAAAAATAAGGCCAAAAAATTACAACATAAGATAAAGCTGTGGTTGTTTGGGAAACTAACAAAAGATTATAAGCTAACGATGGAATAACTAAAACAGAATCTAAATGCAGATTATCAGTGAGTGTTAAAGATCCTTCCCTAATAATTGGGGTCGAAGTACCATTGGTAGTAGAAACAAAGTGTTGTGAGGAAGAAGTAAGAGGTGAGACCTGTCTAGAATCAAATGTCATATAATCTGTAGCACCAAAATCAATTATCCATGCACTATTAACAACAGGTGTAGAAATATTTAAAAACTTGTCACCATTATCTCCAGTCCCAAGGCCTATTTAGTACCATCATCCTCTGTCTTAACAACTACTGCAGTGGAGGTCTTCGTCGAATTCTTCTTCCAACTATTATAATCCCACCAATCTGAATATCCCACAAGTTCGAAACAACAACTTTTGGTATGACCGGTCTAATTACAATGGGTGCATTTATATGTAGACTTGTCTGCATCATTGGTGGCTTTAGATTGATTGGGTTTAGTACAGTCCTACCAGTTTTGCTTAGACCTGTTTCGAGCCATCATGACTGAAGCTTCAGAGTTTTCGGACTCCTCTTTTAGAGTTACACGACGTACCGCTTCTCGTCAAACCAAAGAGTAATAGCCTTCCAAGTCTGGAACTGGATCTTTATGTAGAATTTTTCCACGAACTTGCTTTAAAACACTATCCAATCTGGCAAGAAAGATGTGAACCCTTAGTTGCTCGATAAACTTCCGATATGCTTCAATGTCATCCGGATCTTTCATGACCACTTTATCTCGATGGTCCATTTCTCGGAAAACCTCAGTTTGCTCTCCATAATATTCAGATAGAGATTTTCCATTTTGTTTGGCAGCGAAGGCCTTTCAGTTCAAGGCGAAAACTTGTAACTCATCATTCCCATCATAAAAGGCCTTTGATAGAGCACTCCAGATTTCGTGGGTAGTGGGTAAGCGTAAATAACGCTTCATAATTTCTGGAGTCATGGATATTAATAACCACTGCTTCACTTTCTGATTTTCGGCATACCACTTATCATAACCATTTTCTGAGTCAGCAGGTGGCTTAGTCTTGCCACGAATATTAGAGAGTTTCTCCCGTTCAGCAATATGCATCTCCATTAGTTGGGACCAAACGTCATAATTAGATTCAATAAGACTAATCCTTGCATTAAAAACACCTTCAGATTGAACAAAAATAAGAACTGATTTCGTCCCAGATGATTCAATATTTTTTTCACTCATTTATATATATATATATATATATATATATATAGATATATTAATAAAAAAAAAAATATCTAAGAAGCACAATGTTTCTCTGTTAAGCAACAGAAACAAAATAAAATAAAATAAAATAATTAAAAAAATTGGATGAGAGCATGGCAGATCCGGCGACGGTTATGAACATTGATTCAACAGTTGAGGGCTGTAGATCCGGCGATGGCTCTAGACAGCGAAGAAGATCCGATAATGGCTATGGACGATGCAGCGATTTGGCAGCGATACAGCGGCGAGTAGCGATTCAGTTCTGCAGATCGCCGACAGCGGTGCAGTGGTTCGGCAGCGGTTCGACAGATCTAGGATGGCCACAAGAGCAGAGCTATGGACAACGGGTATGGGTTTGTGAATCAGTGGTAGTTTATGGTAACTGTATATGTATAGGTATGGGTCTGTGAATTTATTTGTATGCGTATGGGTCTATGAATGTATGTGTATGGGTCTGTCAATTTCAAAGATAAATTCAAAGAGATTCAAAGATACGGTTCAATGATGGCTCTGATACCATCTTGAAATTCAGAGAAAGAATATGAGAATTAAAACTCTATTCAATATTATTCACGATAGTGTTACATTCAATTTATAGAATAATACCTAGCTAAAATAGGTAACTAATTATACAATAATCGGGTAACTAATTACCTACCAGTTAGTACTAAATCAAGGAGTAAATAATTCAATCATACAGCTGTTTAATCCCATATTACAAGAGGTAAAATCTCAACACCATTGGTAGCCTGGTGGCTAGCAATCACAACGATGTGGTATGGTTAATTTGCATGTGAAGATGATGGCAAGAGGAAATTAAAGAAAAAAAGGAAAGAAAAGGAATAACAAGTTGAGCACAGCGAGAGAAAAGAAATTGATAGTTATATCATGTTCATAATTAGGGGGAGTTTATGACTTTGTTACGCAATTTATATATATTTAATTGAAAGTCAAATATGATATATATTTATGCAAATTATTTATTTTGTAATGGAGAATAAATGCAAACTTGGTACAAATGATACAATTCTCGTCCTTTTTTTTCACCCAATGGGGAATTCTCTAATCTTAATCTAACATCACTCACATCATCCATGGTGGATGTCAATTGTCAAAGGAATACTTAATTCCTAATTGTAGAACAAATTTTAAAACAGAAAAAAAAGAAATAATGAACGGTGGGGGATGAACATTGCTGATGTTAACATTGATTTTTGTTAGCATTATTATTATTATTTTGACAATTGTAGTGTTGAATTTTAAACAAAAGAGATTAATTTATTAAACAATGTCATTTATTGATAATCATGAAAAATTTACGCCTACCAATACAATCATGAAAAATTTCAAAATTGTCCAAATAATTCTAATATTTTTCTTTTTTCAATTTAGTTAAGCTCAGTGGCTCATCAGTCAAAAAAGAAGAGTAGCCTAGTTTTTTGGTCATGGTCTTAGATCGTCTAATTGGAAATTTCCATCTTTCCAATTCCGAGCGACATCAGCATCCAAACTCAAGTTGAACACGTTACATAAAAAATTGAGGATGGTACAACCAAAGCGTTTACTTCCCAAATTTCCATGGAGTATATCTTTCGCTGAAAATACTTGCACAAAAAATGGGGGCATGGAATTCTCTTGCTACTTTGAAACACATGACCACACATTATTAACTACAATTATTTTATTCTATATTTGTGCATCAAATGTCACACTGTAGGTATATATTCTAATTAGTAACATATATTCGTACAACAAGCACATGAATGATGTCACAAAATTCCATATATACAATCAGCTCCAAGACATAATTGTATGCCCAACATAAACAAAAACAATTAATATATATTCTCTCGCAAGCTGAGAAGATCCAGAGCTAATTGTGTTGTGAGGCAGCAATGGCTACACTTTTCAAACTCATCTCCATCTTCTTCATCCTTCTCTCCGTCTTCACAACCCACGTCCTTTCTGCTTCAGACGAATGTGGGAGCAATTCCGGTGAGTGCAATGACAAGGAGGGGGCGTTAACCCTCAAGATTATTGCAATTTTCGCTATTCTGGTAACTAGCATGATAGGTGTTTGCTTACCACTTGTAACACGTTCAATCCCGGCTCTAAGTCCCGATCGGAGCCCTTTTGTGATCGTTAAGGCTTTTGCAGCCGGGATCATACTAGCCACCGGATTCATGCACGTGTTACCCGACTCTTTTGACATGTTATCGTCTACCTGCTTACCTGAAACTCCATGGCACAAGTTCCCTTTTACGGGTTTTGTTGCTATGTTGTCTGCTATAGTGACTCTAATGGTGGACTCAATGGCCACTACTATATATGGTCAGAAAAACAATGTTGGGATTAAATCGGAGAGTGAAGTTGTCCGAGGAGACCAAGAAACGGGTGCCATGAGGTTCGGAAATTTACATGGATTCCACCACCATGGCCACGGGCCGACCACGAGTGGAAGTGTAGACTCACAACTATTACGTTATCGTGTGATTGCCATGGTAAGTTGTCTCGCTATACATTTAATGAAAAAGGATAAAATGGTTTTTTGGGATAAAATTGCCTTTAATTGTAATCAATTAATAGTTCCGGCAATTTGTAGTTCAGGAGATTATTTGTAAAAGGGCAATGTTTCAAGGGTTTTTTTTTTTCGATCTCATATATATGGGCATGAATATTGCAGGTATTGGAACTGGGAATTGTTGTTCATTCAGTGGTGATAGGGCTCTCAATGGGAGCTTCAAACAACACTTGCACCATAAAACCACTTGTGGCTGCTCTATGCTTCCATCAAATGTTTGAAGGAATGGGTCTCGGTGGTTGCATCCTCCAGGTATATATATATATATATATATATATATATATATATATATGTGTGTGTAGCCTCTTTAGTTACATTTTAATTAAAGCTCAAAAACTACCATTTCTTAAATATATATTAATCTCAGTCTCTGTGTCTCTCACATGTCTCCACTCATATATATATATATATATAGGCGGAGTATAAGTTGTTGAAGAAGGCAGCGATGGTGTTCTTCTTCTCTGTAACAACTCCATTTGGGATAGCACTTGGGATAGCATTGTCAAACACATACAAAGAAAATAGTCCAAGCTCTTTGATCACAGTTGGACTACTAAATGCATCATCGGCTGGGCTTTTGATCTACATGGCTTTGGTGGATCTTCTGTCTGCCGATTTCATGGGTCCAAAGTTGCAAGGTAGCATCAAGCTTCAAATCAAATCCTACATTGCAGTTCTTTTAGGTGCTGGTGGAATGTCTTTAATGGCCAAATGGGCTTAATTATTTATTAATTCACATATATGACATCATCACATCAATAAATCTACTTTCAACTGTGTAATCAATGGCTGACGCCCAAATATGTTGTAAGGGGCAAATATATTTTGGAGTGGGCTAGTACTACTAATTTTTATTTTTATTTTTTATACATATTTATTATTATTATTATTTTTTTTTGTAGTGGTCTAAAATTACCTATAGTAAAAATAATAATTTATTTTTTTGGGGGGGTCTCAGGCCCCTTATATGCCCCCCCGGGATCCGCAATGTAATTTTATTACTGTATTGTCATATTTCAACAAGCTAGTAAAAACGTTTCCATGTTAATTTAAATGTCAAATTTTCACACTTCAATAATTTCCGAATTATACAGTGGCACTAAAATTGATAAATTTAGAATTAATAGTGGTCATGCCAAGTGTTTTAGTCGAATGATACTTTCTCACAACTAGCAATGGTTGAGGGTGAGTGGCCATGCTTGTGGCAAATGAGTTGATTGTGGGTGACATTTTTTTTTTTTTTTTCTTCCGAAAGATCAAAGAAAGTTGAAGACACCAAAAATGGACCGGGCCGAGCGCGATCCATATTGCTAAGAACGGGTCGGGCAAGAGCAACCGCTCCAAACCAAGTCTTCACTAGTCCAGCCCAGGACCAGAAAATCATGTTGGAAGCCCGATTTCAGATAAAAGGAATTGGGCCCATAACCAAGAGAAGCCCAAAAGGTCAGCAATGCAAGGAGCTAGTTAGGAAGCTTCTATAAGATTTGTAACAGTCTATAAATAGACTGAAAATAGAGGGAAAGGGGGTTGGAAATTTCTTGAAGTGTAGAATTATCCTTTCTAAATATAAAGTATTTTTCTTGAATCCTCAATGACGCCGTCCGTGGGAAACGATGAAGATTGATTCGCATTCGATCAAGATTGATTCGATCAAGACTTATTCGTGAAGACAAAGCTTGATCTCTAGAAGTTGGATTCAGATCGGTAAGTTCATGATCTGTCTTGCAGAGACCTGGTCCTAGTTGATCTTCGGAGATTGCAGTCAGATCTGAAAAATCTCGATCTGTTTACCGAGATTGGATCTAACGAGTTCACGGCAAGAATAGAATTAACAGATTGTAGATCAGATCTAGCAGAAAGAGATCAGAATTCAGCTAGTTTGAGGCCAAATCTAGTGCATTCGCATTAACACAATTCAAATCCAGTTGGGAATTTACTATTGATGACTCTACTCCGATCAGGGACTGGTGGTAGATGTCGTTGAACCCCAAAAGTTTATGCAATGTGACCAAGTTTTACATTTAGAAATTGCCACTATTACCTTTCACTAAAAATATAGCAAGGGTGAGTAGGGATCGTCCCAAGGGATTGAGGGTCGTACTAGGTTGAGGGATCAAAATTAGGGCTAGTAGGTCAAGTGATCAAAATAGTGGTTCGCTGGTTGAATTAAACTAGATGCAAATTAAACTAAGGTAAACAATAATGCAATAGAGAGAATAAAAGAGATCGAGATCTTGGGGTTTAGAGATCACCACTAAGCATAGCTTTTCTACACATTTAATGAATGATTAATGAGGGGAAGAACATGTATTGCAACAAAGTGTGTGTGTGTGGTTGTTCCAACAAGCATGGATGACAAATTAAGCATATATTCTACAACTAAGCTAATGATATGAAGTTAAACTAATTAAACTAAGGGAGAGGTACAATCCATCAAGAAATGAGTATGAACCATCAAATAAACCACAAGAACATGTCATTAAGCACTATATCTTGACAATCTCTAGATCTATAGCATCAATACACATAGACATGCATCAATAACACAAGAAATAGAGACAAACACATGAACATCTATTCTAGCATATATAGACATATGGATAGAATGAAATGATCAATTGGAAGCATTAAACCACATAAATTATTGAATAAACAAGATCTATATGTATAAAAGTGTCAAGACATGAATCACAATACAAATCCCCATAAAAATACATAAATCAAGAAGTAGAAAGCATGCTTAGGGCTAACTCTAGCCCCAAGAGGATGTCTAGCCAATCATGGATGATGTCCTCCAACCCTCAAGGGCAAGCTCCATGGAAGAAATCTGCTCCTTGGTTGATGAAGAGTCTCCAATGGTGTCTCTAGCCTCATCCTCTTCTTTTCTTCCTCCCTAAGTATGTGTATCAAAGTATATCAAAAAGTGGCTCATATTCCTTATATAGGTAGGTGAAAAATCACCCCAAATGAGCTGGGCTCGGACACCAATAATCCTCTAATGATTGAATATGAGACAACTTTTAATGAGCTGGAATTTGGATTTTTCTCTTGATTTTGGAGGTTCGATAGATCAAACTTGAGGTATGATCGATTGAACATGGCTGAAATCTATCGAATTTAAGTTAGATCGATCCTCAATAGCGGCGCCTTTTGGATAAAAACAAATCTGAGATATTTTGAAGATATTTTTGGGAAAAGGACAAAGGTGGTTGGTAGGGTGGTACAATTAGATATGATCAATCATTTGGATAAGGACAAGATGGTTCGATCGATCATAGAATGAGGTTGGACCGATCGAACTTTGAGATTTTTGAATAGGAACAAACATGGCTCAGATCCATCTTGAAGTGCTGAGATCGATGAAAGTTGGATCGATCGAATTTTTCTTGAGATCGATCGAAGTTGCTGAAATTCCACCCTTTGCTTCCTTTTGCTCTACTTTGCTCCTCTCTTTGATTCATCCTAGAATTGCTTCAATTATTCTCTTATTTGGCTGAGTTAGCTTGTTTTGGAGATAAGTACCTGAAAATAAATATAACATGCAATCAATACAAAACGGTAAAATAAGATAGATAAAGGTTTTAGAATACCTAAGCTTAAGGGGTTTAAATACGCACTTTTCAGCGCTCATCACACCCCCAAACTTAAATATTGCTAGTCCCTAGCAATGAACTAGAAAGTAAAGGAATGAAATGAAATGACTATACAACTATGAACTAGAAAGCAATAAATGGATAACGCCACTTTCGTAGGGAACACGATTGCACTTAGCATATGCAACAAGCTTTTTAAACCCCTAGGTTACCCCTAGTGGACGAGTGAAGTCTCGTAAGGGTTTCCAAAAATGATACCCACAAACATTACGCTCATTCTTTCAAAAGAGGCACCAATATTGCAAACAAGCATTGGGAGAAAACTACCTCAAGTATGCAATGTTTCAAACATTTCTAAGCAATCTCCCAAAATCTTGACATCAAGCAAGCAAGTATGGTCCTCCACACATCAAGAAAATGATCATGAAAATCAAAATAACTCCAGAATCTTTTTTGAGTGAACCGGCATCAAGTGTGTTGCTATCTTAGCCAACTAAAGAAATGATCACATCCTTACCCTCAAACTAGTACACAAATCTAGTACCGATCATCAAGACAAAAAGTGGACCTTTTATTAAAGCTTTATTGATCTAGGTGTGTTTATTCTTTTCACTCGATTTTATTTTATTTTATTATTATTATTTTTTTAGGATCAAAGATGGAAGCATAGTGCAATGTGTTGATCTATTAAGCTTTCTAGCGATCCATGAGGTCGAGCGTTAGGTCAATGACCCCCAAACCGGACGGCTTTAGGGCACCAGGTGTTCAAACACCCCTAAAGACTTACAAGCTCAAATCAACTAGGCTACAAATTAAAACAACCTCCATCTAATCATTTCCCACTTCTCACCTTTTGGGAGAAGTCCTCACTTTTTATTGCTTTTGCAACTTTTTCCCTCTTTTTTCTGAATAAACAATTATTAATCTAGAGTTTAGGCCTTCCACCTTTCGGCGGGAGAAGTTTAGTGCTTGATGAGGCTAGAATCCCAGCTACTCAATGAAAAGGGTTTGTTATCCACATTTATCAAGAATGAAAGCTTTTAATGTACTACTAGCCCAGTTGGGATATAACCAATTCAATAATCAACAAAGCATATACCCCACAAATGAATGCTAGTGTGTGCCTGTGCTAGTGTAGAATCCTAGAGTGAATCTCAAAACAATCTTAAAATCAGGATGATGTGGACCACAAGTGCAAGCAAGATATCAATTTTTAAAAAAATTTACTCATAAATGACATCCACAAGGCATACAAGGAGTATTGGACTCTCAAGTCAAGCAATTTTTAAATTCTAAGCAATATAGTCCTCAAAAGATCAAAATCATATCTAACTTGGACCAATCATAGAAAATCTCTCAAATACACAAGTCATGCTCAATATTTTGAATTTTAAAGACAAACACTGCAAAGCACTATTACCCCCAAACTTAAATGTCACAGTGTCCTTAATGTGCAAAGAGAACAAAAGGAAAGAGTATACCAGTGCAATTAAGGCAAAGAATGGCTGGGACAGAAGTATCCAAAGTGGGTGGCATAGCCCCCCCAAACTCGGGATTAACTGTGGTCCTGAAATTTGGCACTCGGATAAACTCATCAGATAACAAAAGGGATAATAACAGTGCACAGTGGACATGCAAGTGTAAATGGGATAGCAACTGAAAATAGAGAGAGGTAAAAACGTGGTCCTGAAATTTTGGGCAGTACTCTCTCTCACTGAAGTCACTGGGATGCACCTGATAGAGTCAAACAGATAGCTATAAGAATATAAAAATATGACATCCATAAAGAAAATGTATATAAACAAAGAATAAAGTATAGTACATCCAGTATCAGAGCGGACAGACACGGCTGGAAAAATAGTATAACAGTATCAAAAACATGATGAGATCATAGATATATGAGATGACAGGAGAAAAGAGATAGAGAGATCAGGAAGAAGAGGTAAGACGGGCAGATCGCGCTCCGCGGATGTCTCTGGATAGATCTCTGAATGCAGTCATGACATCCGTACGAAGAGTAGCAATTTCAGCTCTAATGGAGACAGCATCCTCTCGGAGAGAGACCGTATCGGCGCGGATAGATACTACAGCATCCTCCAAAGCCTGGAGTCACTCTCCAAAGCCAGGTGTATGTGCTGGAGCCTCAGGTACCGCTGGAGCGAGAGAATGATGATCCTGAGCCTGCCCCGCATCGTGACGGGTGATCCAACTAGAAAGTGCTGCTCTGCGTCCTCGGCATGCTGCTCCAAATCGATGTCCATATGTACGACAGCCGGATCGACTGGTATATCATCCGCTGCAGGCCTGCAGCTGCTGCCATCTCCTCTACCTCTAAATCCTCTGCTGCCTCAGCAACATCATCTTGAAGGCTCTTGATAAGAGCGTTGTAGCTCTTATCCTAGTCCTTCTTCCCAAACGAGCAGGACCTAGTCTCAGGACGCTCCCGTGGCTGAAAGGGATAGTGATGATCACGTAAGATCTAGGTGATGAGGTGGCCGAATAGGAGATACTTAGCCCTTTTGGGCCTCTCCTTACTAATGTAGTTATCATAGAGCTTCCTCATCACGCTCCAAATGAGCGCTGGGATATATAGCCAATACCCTGATTAGAATACGTACAGAGCTCTTAAAAAGTCGCCTCTCTGCTGTATCTTATGGCCGGCCATGAAAATGTTGCGGAATAGGACAGAGTCGAAGAACCACAGGTCATCTGGAAGATAGGTGCGGGTGGCGAAAGTCTCGCCATCGGCATAGTGAC